AACTATCATGTCACCATGACCTTTTGACGGAATGCCCCAAGGACAGTAGGCTTGCAAACCCACCTCCCCCAGGAGAAAGTTCTGGAGGAGTATGTTGTTTTTTTTCCAGGATGGTCCTTATGCATAATAATAGAGAAGCCTTGAGAGGTAAGTGGGATAGAAGTCAGACTCAGGAAAGGACTTGGCGAAAGTGGTGCCTTTTCTGCTCCTGTCTTCTATGGGAATCCAAATACGTGTGGATGTGGTCTAATTTGGGGTTACAACTTCCTAGAATGGAATTCTCCTTTATCATCCTTGCCAGGGTGGGATTTGGTGTTCTAGGAGCTGGACTGACCCTTGGTTCAGTTGAAGCTCTGCTTTCTTCCATATATTTGCCCCTCTCCCTTGCCAATCACCAAATTAGAAGACAGGCTCAAGACTGGTGCACAAATTAGCCTCCCCAACTAGGTAAAGCCGATGGTAAGCAAGACTGTGCTGCCCTGTTTTGCATTGTTGAATCCTGTCTAGCCTCTGTTATACATTTAGATGACCTATGTTAAAAGTCTGCCAATTAATTGGAATTCAGGGACAGATCTGTGGGATTGGAGCCCTCCTTAATGTGGCTGTGGATAATGTCCCTTGGTCTGGATTTATTTGTGTGTCTTAGAATGGATCTTTGACTGATGCTAAGCTCAGGCAAGAGATTATACCCTGTGCCTTTTCCAAACAGGCTTTGGCCCCTGATTTAGGGCACTCAGAGGAAACGCTATACCCTGTGTGATGTATGGACCCATCAGGTGGGCCATCAGATCCTGGAGACCTCCATCCTATATACTACTTTTGTTGTCTCCCCTTTCCCCCCACACACCGACCTCTGGTAAACATCATTCTACTTTCTGTTACTATGAGTTTGACTTATTTTTTAACGCTTCCACATTTCAATGAACTCATACAATATTTGTATTCCTGGGTCTGACTTACTTCACTTGACAAAGTTCTCTAGTATCCTCTATGTTGTCACAAATGGCAACATTCCCTCCAAAAAAGAAGCTTTAATAAAAGCTGAATAATATTCCATGGTATACATATATATCTCCACACACTACATTTTCTTTATCATTCCTTGAGTTGTAAAGTAAAAATAAACAAGTGAAGTACATTGCACTAAAAAGTTTTGGTACAGAAAAAAAATTTTAAAAAGAGACAACTTACAGAAGAAGAGAAAATATTTGCAAACCCTATATCTGATAGGGGGTTAATATCCAAAATACATAAGGAATACTCACACTTCAATAGCAAAACCCCCCAAATCACCAGATTAAAAAATGGGTAAAGGACGGGAATAGACATTTTTCTGAAAAAGACAATAAAATGGCCAACAGGTATGTGAAAGACACTCAACATCATTAATCCTCAGAGAAATGTAAATCAGAACCACAATGAGATCTCTCTTCACACCTAAGGCTGGCCGTTAGCAAAAAGATGAGAGATAAATGCTGGTGAGGATGTGGAGAAACTGCAGCCCTTGTTCACTGTTGGTGAAAGTAACAGTGCAAGAAAGTAAATGGGTGCAGCCACAATGGAAACAGAATGGCAATTCCTCAAAATATTGAAAACGGAGCTACCATACAATCCAAAAATCCCACTTATGGGTGTGTATATAAAGGAAGTGGAAACACAATCTCCAAGAGATATCCGTATTCCCAGATTCACTGCAGCATAATTCACATTAGCCAAGATATGCAAACAACCTAAATACATTGACAGATGAATGGATAAGGATCCACAGCAATCGTTACTTTATAAGACATAAGTCAGGTTTGAATTAACCCCTTCACTGTGCCAAGGGCTGCATTGGATGTTTTCCCCTAGAATCAAGAGGATCAGGATCTTTGCTAGAACAGAGGTCTGGGCAGCAGTAGCAGATGAATGTAAGAGTTCTGATGAGTAGTCCACTCAGGAGTGGGCACTTCAGCATGTCAACTAAAGTTTATTTCCTCTTCTCTCTCTCTCTGTCTAATCCCTAAAGCTCTTTCATGAGTGACCACCTGATGGGTCCGTACATAGCACAAGAAACAGTCTTTTCCCTGAGTGCCCTACAGATCAGGGGCCAGCTTGGTTGGGACACACAACTAATCAGGCATAGGGTATAAGTCTTTTCCCTGAGCTTAGTGTCAGTAACAGCTTTATTCTAAGACATACAAATAAATCCAGGCCAAGACACATAATCCACAGCCACATTAAAGAGGGTTGCAATCTCATAGTACCATCACAAAGTGCCAACTAAGTAGTGGAACTTTCAGCTTAGTCATCTAAATCTACAACAGAGGCTCGATAGGACTCAATCATGCCACACAAGGCAGCACAGCTCTGCTTACCACCAGCTTACCTAGTTGGGGAGGCTAGACTGTGACCCGTCCTGAGCCTGTCTTCTAATTTTGTGATTGGTAAGGGAGAGGGGCAAATATAGGGAAGAAAGCAGAACTTCAACTGAACCAAGGACCTGTCCAGCTCCTAGAACACCAAGTCCCACCCTGGCATGGATGAGAAAGAGGGAAATTCCCTTATAGGAAGTTGTAGCCCCAAATTAACCTACATCCACAAGTATTTGGATTCCCGTAGAAGACAGGAGCAGAAAAGGCACCACTTTCACAAAGTCCTTTCCTGAATCTAACTTCTACTTACCACTCAAGCCTTTTTCTCTATTTTTAGGCATAGGGAGTGTCCTGGAAAAAAACATACTTCCAGAACTTTCTCCTGGGGGAGGTGGGTTTGCACACCTTCTGTCCTTGGGGCATTCTATCAAAAGGTCACGGTGACATGATAGTTTGTTCAGCTCTGGGGTCACTGATCTGAGCAGGTGAACCTAGAGATAGAAGCAGAATGGGGAGCTTATTGGGCAAGAAAAGTGTTAGACCAGAGAAACAGAGTATTTGCAAAGGTGGTTCAGATAAAGCAAGAGGAGTGAAGGCTCCCACAATGTATAGAGGGGGGATTCCCACATGCAAAGCCATGGAGAAGACAACACACAATTAGTTACCCAGATGTGGTGGCTGAATGGGATCTGATGGATAGAGAAGGAAGTAACAGGAGAATTTGGGAAAAGGATAAGCTAAAAGGGAAGAAAACAGATGCAAACAACCACAGTCCCTGAGGTGTGACTGAAGGACAGTTAAAGGGAGAGACTAACCATGGACCAGAGAACTATATAAGCACAGTCAGACAGAGATAGATGGACACAGGCATGGGGATACAGCCAAGGGGCATGGAGTGAGTTCAGCCAAGGGCGGGCCTTGGAAGAGGGTAGGACAATTGGGAGAGATCTCCCAGAGGTAATTGAGCAGGGGATACTCAGTGTTATGGGTTAAATTGTGTCCCCAAATGTTCATGTGTTGAAATTCTAACCTCCAGTGCCTCAGAATGTGACCTTATTTGGAAATAGGGCCACTACAGTTCTAATTAGTTAAGATGAGATCAAACTGGAGAAGCATGGGCCCCCAATCCAGCATGTCTGATGTCCTCATAAAAAGGGGAAATTTACAGCAAGATACACACACAGAGGGGATGGCACGTGAAGATAGAGGAAAAGATCAAGGTGATGCTTCTACACACCAAGATTGCCAGAAAACTACCAGAATCTTGATCTCAGACTCACAGCTACCAGAACAAAACAAATAATTTTCTTGTTTAAACAATTAGTTGTGGTACTTAGACACAGCAGCCCTAGCAAAGTAAAGTGACCAGCATGATGCCAAGAGCAATGACTCAGTAGGATGTTGAGGACCTCCCTCCCACTTCCAATTCTGGGGTTGATGCAAGAGGACAGTGATATGATAAGACCTGGAAGCACCTGCTCCGTGGTGATCAAATAGAATAAAGCTCCTGGGAACTGCTGTGTGGCTGTCACGCTCAGGCTTCCGCCTCCTCCTCACCCTCTGACCATCGCTTTTCAGCCCTGCAGTCAAGCACTTTGTAAGAAATATCCTGGGTGTGCGTGTGGAGAACCTGTGGAAATCCCTGAAGGAGGTGAGGGGGAAGCCAGGGATGTGGGTGGAGAATGTGGGCATCTGCTCTTCTCCAACTTTCTCCAAACAGACAGTCAGGATAGCTGGGGAAAGGTAAGTGAGGAACTGAGGGGTGGGAGTTCTGGTCTCAGATAGGATGATGGAGAGAAGATGCAGTGGGTATGTTTTGGAAACCCACCCTTGGCACCGATCCTTTGTGTGGAAATGCGCAGTTCAAAAAATAGACAAAAATCCCTGCCCTGGCTGAGCTTACTTTCTAATGGATTGAGGAGTCTATTTATTCTGTCATAGTTTCATGGTTCTATGATCTATTTTATTTAAGGGTAAGTGTTTCCATGACTCTGTTATCCAAGGAAATAGTGAAGATCTGAGTATACTATTCTGAGATTCACCAAGTCTCTCACTTACAGTGTGTATTACACAGACACCCAAGGGCCAGGAGCAAGAGAAGGAGAATCTAAATTGGAGCTCTATCCCCGAGTCTCCTGTTCCCTCTCTGTTGCTCAGCCATTAGGGGGTCATGGGAATTCCTTGTTGTCAAACAATGAATCATAGGGTCAGAGCGGCTCTGGGGCCTTCTCCCCCAGCCCCCCCCCCGCCCCCCCCCGTTCCATGCATAAAAACCTTGAGGCATCTATTGAACAACTTAGAGGCACCAACCACACTCAGATGGGGACAGTGAAAAAGATGTAGAAATATGGAAACATGGAGACAGAAGGAAAGGAGGGAGGGAGAGACAGAGGGACACACAGGGAAAAGGAGATAGAGAGAAGGAGGGAAAGAGACAGCAGGGGAGACAGGGATAGAGAGAAAGAAAGAAAGACAGGAAGAGAGAGAAGCCTTTCCCTTATGCTCTCTCCAACGTCTCTCTGAGTTTGAGGTAAGTCTCTTTTTCTCTCTCTGTCTCTGCCTCTCTATCTCTGTGTAAGTCATTCTCTGTCTACCTCTTTCTGTCCCTATCTATCAATTTCTCTATCTCTTTCTTTATATCTTTCTGGCTCCCTCTTTGTCTCTCTGCCTATCTCTTTCTTAATGTTTCTCACTCTATCACTGCCTCTTTCTGCCACTGCTACTCTTTCTCTCATTCTTCCTCCCACCCAACTTCCCTCCCTTTCTCTCTCAAGTCGGATTCCTTGTCTCTATTCCTCTCTACTTCTTTTCCTCTCCTCAACTTCCTCTGTATCTGGGCCCTGGGGGAGGCATGTTCCAGATGGAGATGAGGGGTACATCTATCCCTTCCCCAGCCACAACCGCTCTCACCTTCATTTCAGATGCTGCCTGCAACTGCCTTAACCATGGATCTTTTGAGCACAGCCATCTTACTTCTGGCCCTGGCTCTTAGCTGTCTTTTCCTGACTCTTGGCTCAAGGCGCAAGGAGAAACTTTCCCCAGGACCCAGACCCCTTCCATTCATGGGAAACCTGCTGTAGCTTAGCTCCCAAAACATGCTCACATCCCTCACAGAGGTACTGAACCCTTAGCTTGAGGGCAGGGGAGACAGGGAGGCCAAATGTAACTTCTGTGTTCCTACCCACAGCTCAGTAAGGAATATGGCCCTGTGTACACCTTGCATCTGGGATCCAGGCAGGTGGTGGTCCTCAGCAGATACCAAGCTGTGAAGGAGGCTCTTGTGGACCATGATAAGGACTTCAGTGGCCAGGGTGATGTCCCCTTATTTTCCAAGTTCAACAAGGGAAATAGTAAGCCTGATCCTCCTCTCCTCTATCACAGAAAACACTTTCTCCATTATTGCAGCATGAAAGAGAGAGATAGTTACCCAATATTGGTGTCCCTCAGGGTCATTGATCCAACTAGTCACATCAGATGGCATAGAAACTGCACAGTCCAGGACCTGGGATGAAGTTGTCCAACTTTCACCATCCCCAGACACCATCAATAACTTAAATTTTACTTTTTTGTTGGAATCCCCATTTCCATTTCAAGCTCAACCTTAGTATCATCAACCTTTATTTTAGCATCAAAATAATACTCAACTTCCATCTCAACTGACAAGTCAAATGATCCAGAACCAGTTCTGACTGTCCACCTAGACCTCAACTCAATCTCTGTGATAAATTTCCATAATCAATCCCATCCTAATCCTATTGGTGAAAATGAATTCATAATTTCTCTCCAATCCTTAGCTCCATCTTCTATTCCAAATACTGTCCAATTTGGCCAGACTCAAATACCTATTTTCCTTCTAAATCCTACAAACGCAATCACCCAATCCAACACATTAAATAACAAATGCAACTTCAACCCAAACCAAAAGTCAACCTGAAAACCAACATACAAAAACCATCGCCTACTCCAATATCATTTGAAAAAGTAAAAACCTCATAGGAGAGTGAAATCAGTGTGGACTCAAAAAGAAAATCCAGCCGTGTCACTAAGCAGACTGGAAGGACAGAGACAGAAAGCCAGCTATAAAGTTAACTGGAAACATTGTTCCTCCCAACATCATGCAGTAGTTGTAAAATGCCATAAAGACCTTCTATTTTGAATGACTACTGATTTTTTAAACAATGACCCCAAGACTGCTTTTTTATACCCACCCACTGCTGGAAATATGCAATTATCCAATCACACATATCACAAGATTGCATCCAATTGCTAGGTAACCCCCACTTCTCCTAATCCCTCTTTAGAAAGAAAAAGTAATACAGAATTTACCCCTCTTAACTTAGACTTCTCAGGATTCTTAAGCAGAGCCCAGATCTTATACAAGGCACTTATCCCATCCCACTTTATGACTGGCATGCCATGGTGGCTCTGTAGTGTCTTTCCTCCGTGTATCAAGTCAATTGACCTGATTTTGTCACACTACACTTTTGTCCCTGCTGGTCTTTGGCTGATTATGATTTAATATATTCTACCCAGGCCCGTTATATTACCAACCTCACCAACTCAACACCATTCTGATCATCAATTTCAATACAATCCACTAATCCCATACTTGATCTAATCTAATTCTCTTGCTTCAACTCCTTGTCAATCATATTGCCCAACCAAACTACACCTTATCAACTCCATTGTAAACTCCAAGTGCATCCACCTCAAATGCTAGGTCTAGCCCTTGGTGACAATTCAATATCTTGTCTTATTTGGACTTGAGAAAATAGCTATTACTGTGTTTCTCAAACTTTTAAAGCACATATTATTTATTCAGAATATTAGGTTTAATGTTAATATGAAGCTAAAAAAGACGGAGGCCTAGCTGAAGGTGAGTGACCTGGAGACCTGCACCCTGGGCTCACTCTCTCAATCCTGCAGAGTCCCATGGGGAACCTATGCTCATTCCATAGGGTGAGTTCCAGATGTCTGACTTGCCTCAGAGTGTCTGGGGGCAAAAATCTTTCTATTAATATTGAGATCACTTCCCATTCCCTACCTTCATCTGCTCCCTCTAGCTTGATCTTATGACTACCACTGTCCATGTATATTGGAAGAGGGAGAGGAAGAAGGTAGATAAGGTCACCTTATTAAATTGTGGCAGTAAAACATCTGAGAACGTACATAGCGTGTTGTTAAAAACAGCCACCATCTACGTATTTCATACATAGTACAAAGAAAGCAACCTGGGGTCTGCCATATGCTAGCTGTGTACTCTTGGCAGGTAGCTTCCCTGATCTGACCCTCAGTCTGCTATTCTGAGGAGACTGACAGAAGATTCAATGAGATAATGTAATTCATTTGTTTTGAGGCCAGCAGTTCAGAGTCAAATAATTGGCCCTTACCCTCTCAAAGCCCTTAGTCTAATGGGGGAAACAGCCCTGTCACTAGGCAGTGATGTGACGAACTCATCAAGGTTGTGAAGGGAAAATCCTGGAAGCTCTGGGAGCCCAGAGAAGAAGACTGATCTGACTTGCGAAGATCAGGGAAGGCTTCCTAGTGCAGAGAACTTACGTATTCTGTGGTTCTCCAAGCAGTATCAGGGAAGAGAGACTCACAGGGCAGTGATCTCCAGGAATGAATGTCAATTGAACTAGCTCCTCCACTTTTCTTTCAGCTATTGCTTTCTCCAATGACAATAAATGGAAGGTCCTAAGAAAGTTTGCTGAACAGACTTTGCATAACATCAGGATGGGGAAACAGAGCTTCGAGAAGCGCATCATGGAAGAAGTCAGCTTCCTGATGGTAGAGCTAAGGAAAAATGAAGGTCAGCCCTGGTCCTGGCTCTTTGACATTTGACTTTTTATGTCAAAGTTACTTTGTATGGGAGTGCAGGTTGTGCACTGCAGCACTCCTGGAAGCTTCATTCACTTAGACTCTAATGCGAATAGCTTACCCTGGAGTGCTGCAACCAAGTATTCTGGTTTGGGGTGCTGTGTTCCCTTGATGAATAGTGGCAGGATAGATTGATGCAGTAGCAACTGTCATTTGATCCTGTTATCTGTCCATATGGTATTTGGAGTCCAGCATATGTAATTGTGGGGGAGATTATGATGATGATGGTGAGATGATGATTATACTTTGAACACTCACTATGTTTCTGGTACTATGCTAACCACCTCAGTTCACATAAGCCACACAATAATCAGGAATTATAAGGAAATGGAATCACAAAGAGATAAAATGACCATCTCAAAGTCATAACGCCACTTGGTGGAGGAATCAGGATCCAAATGTAAGTTGAACTGGCACTAGAGTTCACACTTAACCAATGCAGTACTCATCTAAGATATTATCTTTAGAACAATACCTGTTAAGACTTGAATGATTGCTGCGTGTCAGACGCCGTGCTAAGTAATTCACACATACTAAATCATTTCATCCTCACAATAACCACATAGGGCAGGAACCATTACAGAGGAGGACACAAAGGCCCATAGAGTTTAAATTACAGAGTCTAATGTCACGAAGCTAGGAAGTAGTGGAACTAGGATTCAAAGTCAAGCCAAAATTGGTGCTCATCCACGTCTTGCTCTGTGCTGATCCAAGGAAAAGAGAAACAATTTAAATAGCATTATGGAATTTCTGCTTTTGGTTAAGGTAGAGTAAAAGAGACTGGATTTTACCTCCATGTGAAATAACAAAAAAATGAACAGAATATATGAAATGTTGGGAGCTCAAGGGTATCCCAAGAGTTGGTCTGAGCTGAGGAAACAGAGCTGGGGGTTTAGGGAGGTCAAGCTCTCTAGACTTCTCAGAGAAGTAAACTAGTGAGGAGAGAGTGGCAAAAGTTGAGACTTCCAAACATCTGCAGAGGGTCTGTTTGTGTCTATCTGAGACTGATCAGCACATGTGTATGAGGAACTACCTGAGGGCAGGGGAAGAACCATGAAAGAGAAGCGTAACAGTCTACATAGCTCACTCAGGCTGGAGAGAGCTCCTGTTTCCTCCGTCCAGGTGGAAAATGTTATAATATGGCACATTAAGTAGGGCACTTGGAAGGATATTGCTTTAAGAGTTGTCTAAGATTATCCCTAGACTACAATATACTTTAATTCCATCTAAAAAAAGCCTAAAACAAGCCTCCAAAGGAAAAATTGTTTCCAAGTAATTTAACTGTACCCCATATTAGGGCTTAAGACTACTTATAGAAATAAAAATATACCTGGTGCCCAACAATATCTGGCAATGAATAAAAAATTACCAAACTTTTAAGGATACAGGAAAATATGGCTGATCTAGTTATCATTGTGTAGCACATTACACCAAAATTAAACATCTTAAAATAAAAAAAATTATCTCCCAGTTCCCGAGTAAATGCAGGAGCATTTACTGGGTAGTTCTGTATCAGAATCTTCCTTTAGGTTACTGTCAAAGGGTTGGCCAGAGCTTCATTCATCTGAAAGCTTGGCTGGGACTGGAGGATATGCTCCAAGCCCAATGATCTGATTGATAGCAGCAGCCTTCAGTTTCAAAGCACGTGGGCTTCTCTATAAAACTGCTCACAACGTGGCAGCAGGCATTTTCTAGAGTTAGTGATGTGTGTGTGTGTGTGTGTGAGAGAGAGAGAGAGAGAGGGAGAGAAAGAGAGAGGGAGAGAACTTAGATGGAATCCAAAGTGCTTTTTACAACTTAATGTCAAAGTAACATACCAGAATTTCTGTCCTTTTCTATTCATCACACAGATCAACCTTGCTACAATGTGGGGAGGGATTACACAAAGTCATAAATACCAGAAGTGGAGACCATTGGTAATCATCTTGGAGACTGCTACTCATGATCCATAATGTTAAGAAAAGTCAGTCAATCTAAAATGACCCAGAAATGACTCAAATGATAGATGTGGTAGACAAGGGCGTTAAAGCAATTGCTGTAACCATATTCCATAATTTCAAGAAGTTAAAGGAAAACATAGGCATGCTAAGGAGAGACAAGGAAGATGTAAAAGAGACTAACTTGAACTTAAACATTGAAAAATGCAATATTTGAAATAAAAACAATAATAGTAGGGATTTACACAAGATTAGATACTGCAGGAGAAATGATTAGGAAACTCAAAGACATAGTTATCAAACCTATAATAATAAACACTGTGTGAAAATAGAACACAGAAAATTGTGGGACAACTTCAAATGCCCTAATAGATGTGTAATTGGAAGTCTCAAAATAAAGAGAGAATACAGGAAAATTAAATAAAAGAAAGGATAAAATATCCCATAATTGGTAAAATTGAAAACCCAATGTAAACTACAAGCACGAGAACATCAAGAAAACTATACGAAGACAGACCGTAATCAAGTTGTCTAAAACTATTGATAAAGAGAAAAATCCTAAAAGCAGCCAGAGGAAGAAAGGCACATTATATAGAGCAAGAAAAATAAGAAGACAGTCCACTTACAGTTGGAAACAACGGAAGCCGCAAGGCAATTGAACAACCTCTTTAAAGTCCTAAAAGGATGAAAAGAACTGTCTACCAATAATTTTATGCCTGATAAAATTATCTTTAAAAAAATGAAGGAAAAAATAAAGACTTTTTAAGGCATACAAAATCAGAATGAAATAATCATCAACAGACCTTCACTACAAAAAATGTTAAAGGCAATCTTTCAGGCAGAAGGAAACTGATCCCAGATAGAAATATGTATCTACACAAAGGAATTAAGAACTGTGGGAGTGGAAAATATGTGGGTAAAAAGGAAAGACCTTTTTCTTACTTTAAAAAACTCTTTAAAAGTGTTTGCATGTTAAAGGCAAGAATAACAACAATGTACGGTGGGATGTCTAACACATGTAAAAGTTATGACAGCAGCACAGAGTCCAGGAGAAAGAAAATTGCAGAATACTCTCTTAAGGTTCTCATAGCATACGTGAAGTGTTGCATATTTCTTGAAGGTAGACTGTGTTCTGTTCAAGATGTATACTATAAACCTAAAGCAAACACTGGGAGAAAATACTTACAACTAATAAACAGCACCTACTACATATTATGCTCTGTGTTTAGTATTTTACATTTATAAAATGAATCCTCATTGTAATGTATGAGGTGGATGCTACTTTTAGCCCCATTTTAAATAGGAAAATGACATAAAGAGATGAATAGCTCTATGCCTTGGTCTTTGAGCCTTCATAACTCATGGGTAGACAAAAGTATCAGGTGCCTCTGCAGGTTTTGATGAAATGATGCATGTAAAATACTAACATTTCCCATCTCTGAAGGGGTCGTGATAGGAGAGGCCCTGAACTGAACACATGGCACAGACTCCTTGTGAAACTTCATGAGGTGGAAACTGTTATCTTTTCCATTTTTCAGAGGTGGAAACTAAGGCTCACAGAAGGCGGTAGTTGGCGCACAGGTCACATTGAGAATCAGGGGCCAAGCCAGGATTCAAACTTACTTCAGATTCTGAGAAATCTAGGGTGTAATGTGGTATAATGTCGAACTTATTGTGATGTATATTTCCCCTTATTTTCTGTATTTTTTCTGTTGAGTCATTGGGTCTTTGGGTGTAGCGCCTTGTGTGGTTTATTGATGACCGACATAGTAGCATGGTCAAACATGCCCTGTGGTACTGTACTGTATGGTTGCACTGAGACCCATAACTGGGGGCTGAGTTCTATAAGTTGTGTACTTGTGAGTTGTTTATAGAGTTTCCAAGTGTTCTGTTGCTGGATACTGCTTGTGTGTCACCTTTTCTGTCCTACTGCTTTGATTTATTGTGTCATGATGCCAATTGTAATGAGTTCTATACTGTCTGTCTTGTTGCTGTGTGTCATTTTGATGTTGCATATTGTACTGCAATTTGCCATTTTTGTATGTGTGCCTTGTGTTCTGGAATACTCCAACACATGTGTTATTACACAGCCATGTATTTTGTATGGTGCCCCTGTGTCTTCTGAAGTGTTCTGAGCTTCCCTGTGATTAACCTTATTATTGAATTTTGTTGTGTTGCAATACACAGCTGTCGTATTTGCTGTGAGTGTGGTTCCCATGTCTTGTTCAGTGTTCACTGGGACCTGCTGGGTTACTATATACTTTTGAGGTTTTGTTAGGCTATATGTTGTGTAGCCAAGTGCATGTTCTGTGCATCAATTATATTTCTGTAGATTAGTTGTATGTCATTTGAATTAGTTTTTTTTTTTGCTGCACAAACTCTGTTGTGTTGCACATTGGAGGTCCTGAGTGGTGGAGCAATCAGACAGTGTCCTCACCCTCCTTATCCCCCACCCACAGGCCAGCTCTTAGACCCCACTTTGGTGCTGAGACTTTCTCTGTGCAACATCATCTGCTCTGTGCTCTTCGGCAGCCGCTTTGACTATGAGTGACCATCAGTCAGCTCCTCAGTGACAACTTCCAGATCATTAACAGCCACTGGGGCAAGGTTGGCCATCTGCTGAATGTCCATCCAGGATGAGTTGGGCAGCTTTAAGAACTGGGGGACAAAACTTTTGGGTTGGGGGGTAGGGCATTCGAAATTGGGGAACAGAAAGATTGGGTGGGGAAAGAGGACACCAAGGATCAGAGATTACTGGGATAAGGAGACACCAAGTTCTAGTAGGAGGTGGCAAGATTACCCCACAGGGCAGGGGTTGGAGACACCTCATTGACCACTTCAGAAACCTCATCTCTAACCTCCTGGCCTATCCCACCCATTCCTCAGCTGACACTTCAACATCTCTTTTCGTGTCTCACCTCTCCGCTCTCCCTTCCTCCCCTGGTTTATATCTGAACCCACCCTTCCTTTTTGACTCTCTGTATTTCCACCTGCCCCTCCTGCCCCTGCCCCACCCCTAGATGTACAACATCTTCCCAAGGCTCCTAGACTGGCTGCCTGGGCCACACCAACGTCTCTTCCATAACCTGAAGTGCCTCAAGCACCTCATCACCCTCAGCATTTGTGAACACCAGGCCTCCTTTGACCCCAGCTCTCCCCGGGACTTCATCGACTACTTCCTCGCCAAGATGACACAGGTAAAAATTGCCTGGAAGTCCCATCTCTGTCTGACCTGGAGCTTGTCTGCCAGCCCTGCCCTAAGAGAAAACCAGGAAGCCCAACATCAGGATCAGGTTGGGTAAGCTCAGAGGACAGGATGGAATGTTCTGAGATGCTCCTGCCCACCACATCTCAGGTAGAGCCCAAATACCTGGGTGCTTTGCCCTAGAAAAATTAGTCAACCTCATCCTCTTCCTGAATCATCAATTAATGCTCATTAATGGTCACTAAGGCACCCTCCAAGTCTCTGCTTTCAGGCCTTGGAGTGAGATGTATCAGGCCTTCCTCCTCCACATCCCCCAGTTCACCCAAGGGAAGGTTTAGATGGGGCAGACACTGACACACAGAAATAGATGTACAAATCTGGTGGGGTAATGTTGTGGATGTTCAAGCAACAGCCTGTGGCTACATACACCCTACCCTCAGGAGCATCAGGACCTGATGACCCACTTCAACTTGGAGACCTTGGAGACCACCACGCACAATCTGCTCTTTTCTAGCCTAGAACCCTTGAGCATCACGCTGCTCTATGCCTTCCTCACTCTGTTAAAGTACCCGAAAGTTCAAGGTGCGCCCCTGAACCTAACCAGGAGCCCTTCCCATGCAGTCCCACTCTCAAATCTCACATTGTACAGAATCAGTTCTAAATCTCCCATCCAAAGAGCCCTCCCAGCCTTACACACGCATCCTTATAATTGCATTCTCCATCTTATTCAAAGGGCCCTGAATCTTGCTTCCAATCTCTCCCACATACCCTGTCACCATTTTCCAGACTCTCTGGAACTCTGAATTCAGCTCACATGCACAAGGGGTACATGACTCAAACCTTTTGCCCAGAAGCTTTGCTCACATACTCAGTTCTAGCCTCCAAAAATTCTCTCATATCTCCTGCTATCTGTCCACCCACATTTCCTAGAAACAACCCCAGTCCCTCAGCGCCATGACCCAACCCAGTCATTTTCCACCACCTGCTTCTGTGAACCGACCAGCCCAATTAGCATTCCTTTCCCTCCCTGTCTTCCACAAATCCCAACGAGTTCCTATGGGCCCGCCTCCTGCTTCAAAAAGTGAGAATAGTTTCCCCCTGACTATCCCACAAACTCCTACACAGAGGCCCAGCCTCAGTGACAGTGCCTTCAGCCTCTGATGCCCACAGCCCACGTACAGGAGGAGATTGACTGTGTGGTGGGGCGTGCACGGCGTGCACGTGGGGCCATGCCTTACACGAACGCCATGATCCATGAGGTACAGTGCTTTGCAGACATCATGCCGATGAGCTACCCACACCGAATCTCCAGGGACACAGTATTCCGTGGCTTCCTGCTGCCCAAGGTGTGTCACCAGCTGATATCCACCTGGGAACCTGACAACTGTCACCTAGACCCTGGCTACCAGCATCTGATACCCTCATCGCCAGCACTCAGGGCCTTGGCAACTGGCACCCTGAGCTATAGCAATGGCATCCAAGGTCCTGGCACCCAAAACGAGACCTCTTCCACAGGATTTCCTCCTGTGCCCAGACACCTGGAACCCATTCTGAACATCTCGCCCCTTCACAAGTCCAGGTTCTCCTTCCCAGGACCCTTCTCCAGAACCTGGGGCTCATGGGATTATCCCAAGTGTTCTCCGAGACCACTCCCCTTTCCCAGAACACCAAGTCAGGGATCTGAGATGCCCTTTTTGAGGAGGAGGCCAGGCCCATAACTCAGAACCCGGTCCACACATCTCAGTCTGAGACCTGCACACGGCTCTTGGGACCTCAGACTTTAATTCACCCAACACTCTGTATTTCAAGTCCCCAAGGCCTCTAGCCCTGGAGAATGTGTGTTCTGCTTCTGAGACCCATGCTCTGGCCCCCCATACCATTGATTTCCACATCTCCCACAGAGCACAGATGTTATCACTCTCCTCAGCACAGTCCACCAGGACCCCAGTCTGTTCATGACGCCCCAGGAGTTCAACCCTGAGCACTTTCTGGATGCCAGTCAGTGCTTCAAGAAGAGCCCTGCCTTCATGCCCTTCTCTGCTGGTGAGTAGAATGAGGATGGGAGTCACAGCCTTGGAACAGCCAGAATCTCATTCTCCTACCTACATCCCTCAGCCCTGATTACACTCCTCACTTTCACTGCCTTTATTCTAGCTTTAGAAACACAGAAATCCCAAGGCAGTGTCTGCTTTGTCTGCTCAGAGACACACCCAACTCTCACTGTCCAATTCTGTAGGTAGAGGCAGAGAGTGATGAAAACCTTTGAGGTAGATATTGTAACATGAAGTCTCCATTTGTTGCAAGAGAGTTGGTTCTAATTTTTCTTATTTTAGTCTACTGTCTTGATGGAAAAAATATTGATGTTTACATAGTAGCAAAATAATAGAATAATTGTAAGAGAAAACACTTATGATATTGCCAACTGTGCGCACCCAGCACAGATGAGAAAGACTACAGAAATGGTTTAATAATATGGAGACAGAAGTCAGGCCTGTGGGGTCTGCATCTTGGCTCTGTCACCAGTAGCTCTGTGGCCTTCGGCAAGTCACTTAACTTCTCATCCCATCTACCATGTCAACTCACACCCTATCCCTCCACCAGGGAGTTGGATGTGCTTGGGACAGTCCCTGGCAAGCATGGCGTTCTTCCTCTACCTCACCACCATCCTGCAGAGTTTCTCACTGCAGCCGCTGGGGGCGCCCGAGGACATAAACCTGACCCCAATTGGCCCTGGCCCCAACAAGATACCAAGACCCTTCCAGATGCGTTTGTGCAAATGCTGAGACTCCGCCCACATTCCTGCCAGTGCTTCTCATCACACTTTTTCTGTTTCATTTTTTTTGCCTCAAACCTTCCACCCCACCCCAAATAAGTCTTCTACTTGTTTTAAATCTCCATGGCTACCTGCCAATCCAGAGTCAGCAAAAGCATGAGGGAGGGGAAGTCTATGCTTCTCTTCTAGTCACTCAGGGACCCTGAAGCTTGTCCATGTCTCACCTTTCTCTGGATTTTTTGTTTGGTTTCCCAGTAAACTTATCATGGAAATAAATTCAATGTGGTCTGCCTTGATTTAAAGGAGGAGAATGGTCCTCTGGGAAAGGCAGAGGGAGGTCATCTCTGCCATTTCTGGCTGCAAGGAGGGAGCTGGAACAGAGAGGACGTCTTGCTCTCACCTCAGGGAAGCTGTGGTAGTGGAATCAAAATTTGTAGGGGCAGGCTGGGAGGTAAAGACTGTAAAGGACTAAATATAGAGAGCAGAGAAAGAAGAACCAAGGCAGAAGGGAAAAATGACAACAACCCAGAAGAGACACTCCACAGAAAGCAGAATGGGAGAGTAACAGAGGGATTTACAGAGAAATAGACAAATAGAAAATGAGAAACAGAGAGCGAAAAACAGACACAGAAAGAGAATAAGAAATAATGTCTTACACCTAATAAACAATGTGCCTGCCTGGGTTCTAAATGCTTTAAATGTACTCACTCACTTATGCCCAAAGCAGACTCATAAACAAGATACTGTTATTAACATCTCCATGTACAGATTGGGAAACTGAAGGGCAGATAGGCTAAGTCACTTCTGTGGTCAAAGAACCAGGAAGAGATAGGGCTGGGTTTTAAATCCAACTTGTCTGGCACCAGTGTCCGTGATCTTAAGCACTGCTTCTCAATAGAAAGTGAAAAGGCAAGAATACTATCCATTCTGGTGGTCAGTGCCCTACGATAGCAGATGCTAAATATTTTAAATATCACTCTGACAACTAATAGTTGCTGGACACTGTACTAATTAGTAGAATTATGTTGGAGAACAAGGCAGACATGGTACTTGTCTCATCATGTGTAAATTCTTTTTTTCTTTTTCAACTCTGGTTCGATTTATTTTGGGTTACAAATTGATCTGTTTGTCTCTTCAGAAACATGTTCTTTTCATAAATATTACATAATAATTGAAAAGGTCAAATGGTTCAGTATTTGTTGATATTCTCAGGAATTCAAAGCATATCGAATCTCCAAAATATTCCTACACATTCAAGTACTAAATATACAAATGTCTTCAGAGTTATGGAAATTATTCCTAAAGGTTTATGAAAATTTCTAAACATATAACTGATACATGTAAGGGATGTTCCACCTTCATTATATGTTACTCCCAACTACTAGCATTCCTTTCTGAGGAGGTTGAGCTGAATAAGGTAGTACAGGAAGATATTTTCTCCAACCTGTAATACGATATTATTTGCACGTGACTTTTAGATCTATACTGTGGAAATTAATAAAAGAAATTTTAATTAAATTGGAGTCAGGAAAGCCTGGAGGGGGAGCTTTCATGCCCTATCACACACCATCAATACCCCAAACAGGAAGACAGAAGCTTGCACCTTGGACAGGAAGTAAAACTACTTAACTACTGAAGGAAGATTTGTCTCCCCACTTGGCAGCAGTCCAGACAAAGAGAAGCCATTGTTGCCCTCAGCAGTTATTTTCCCCCAATGGACTTTCCTTTAGAACAGCCCCTCCCTACTCCCCCTTTTTTCTCTATAAAGGCAGCTCCCATTCTTTATGGGATTTGTCTCTGATTTGCCATAGCAAAACATCCTGAATTGCAATTCTTTTGGCTATTCCCAAATAAACTCATTCTGAGGATAAAATAAAAGGCACATTTGCTTTTTAAGTTGATTTATATGGTGTCAGAAGTGGGATCCAAAGGAGGCAACCCTGGAGAGATGGTGACTCCCAGAATCAAGTGAAGTACCTGCACCCAGCCCCTTGTGCTCATTGCTTCTGTGAGTTGCCGCCTGCTTTCAGTTTAGCAAGGCTCCTCTTGGATTTGGCGCTCTGCTCCCTTTGTGTTCTGACCTCTCACTGTTTATTCAGGATCTGGAGATGCTTTGTTCTCTCAGTGGAGGAATTTTCTCCTCTCAGGGGAGAAATTTTGTCCTCCAGGTCCAAGTTTCTGTCCTTGGGCTCAAGGCATCGTCCTTGGTGAGTACTCAGTTGTTTTCTGAAGGTAACAGTTTCTCTCTGGGCTTGGGTTTGCTGAAAATCCATGTTTTCTTTGGTTTTCAGATTCCTCTTGGAATCATGGTTGGGGATCCGGCAAGTTTTCTTTTGTTTTTAGATTCTTTTGGGGATCAGGGCTAGGACTCTAGCAAATTTCTTGAGTTTTTAGAGGAAATTTCAGAAATGGGATCCCAGTAATCCAAGTGTTCTGAGGGAAAACCTTCTTCAGGGATGCTGGTCATGTTTATGTTTGAGAACTTTGGGTCGCCTACATGCATATTTTTAACTGAGTGGGCCAAACAGACCAAAAGCAGTCCGGAATTGCAATGGCCATCATGAGGAAATTTTGATCTTCCCAAACTAGCTTTTCTTGGAACCAAGTTGGAAGACTGTGGCTCTAAAATTAATCAAAATAAATGGTATGTTCATTTACATTGGTACCTGGAAGCTTTTGGATATGCACAAAACTCTAAAATTGCCTCACTACAAGATAGTTTATCTAAACTACTTGAAACAACTCAAAAACTGAGGGAGAATAAAATGGCTTCAGAAGCCTCATGTTCCTCTCCCCCTCATTCCTTGTCTCAGGCATCATCTTCTTTGTCTTCCCCGACTTTTTTGTCTCAGGCCTCACCCCGGCAGCCATCTTGTGTCCGGGCTCTGCTCCCAATACTGTCTTCCTCTCTTCTCCTTTGTGAAAACCTGCCCCCTTTAAGATCAGACCCTCTGTGGATTCAAATGCTAAGCCTGTAATTGCTATTTCTAAGTTAACTGGAGCAAATAAACAACTAGAAGTAAAATTTTAAACACCAATTCCCTAGACTTTGGATAACAGACAAAATGACTCCAAAAACAGTTCTCAAAGGATCCTTACAGCATGCAAAGAAAAATCTTCAGTAACAGAATTTGGCCACTGAATAAGTAACCTTACCTTAGTCCATCTGCCAGAAATACAGTTTGGATCCAACTATTCTTTTGAGTTTTACACCTGAAACACTTACATTTCATTTTAAAATGAAAGCTATGAGGTCTCTGTTTATGTCTACCTCTGTGTCTATGTATGTATGTTATGGAGATGTGATATTTTTCTATCTCCACATGGTATTGCTAGAATTGTTAAAAAGTCCTATTTAATTGGCTTGAAATTAGGTATTTATAAAGTAAGTATTCCAAAATCTCAGAAATATAATAGAAGCTAACTTAAGTGCTTTTCAGGTATACATTATCTAGAATAAATCTTTAGTAAATAAAAGCTAGCTTAAGGTTGTTAGTGTAAAAAAAAAACAGACATGACTTCAAGTTGTTAGTCCTGGGTGTAATGAAAGTGTGCAAATTTTCTCTTTGCCTAGGTTTTCTAGTCAGGTGGGTTCATGCTGTCTCTGTTACAAAATGTGTGAGCAAGAACGTAACTTAAGATGGTAGTTGGCTATTTAATGTCTAATCGAAGCATGATTGTTGAAAGTAAGTGGTTAAAATAAATATAAACAAGTTCAAAGTTTATACGAAGTTAAAATAAATAATAGATAGTCACTGAATACCTAAATCATTTTCTAAACAAGATAAACTATTAAAACATTAAATACTGAACATAGGTTTGTCTACTTTTGGCTACCTATTGCAAAGAAACTAAATATAAATTTGGGTCTATCTTGTGCCACATTGAAAGATTGCACTATTCAAAAGTGCATATTCCTAGAAATTATAAAATGTATTTATAGTTCTGCCAGTCCACAATTGCTTACTTCTTAGTTTTCACTAGGAATTGGGGATTCTAAGGGTTAGGAATTCTAGTATCTGTAACCAAAACTACCAGAAACAAAATGGGAAACATCTGTGTATACAAGGAAAGTAGGATATGTGTTTCAGAAAAAGAAGATATAAGAAATGGAAGTGCATTTTGCTGAAGAAAAAGAAAATAATTTTGTCCTAAAGAAAGGCTAGTTCATTTCAGACCGGGAAAAAGGAAAAGAGGAAAAAATCTGAATGTAAAAAGGAAGTTGTATATGGTTTATGGAAAGGAATCTCAGGAAGAGAATTTTATGAATGGTCAGGATTGGCTAAGATTGGAACAAATAAATTCTAATACCAAAATAAGGTGATACACATGAAAATTTGGCTTTCTTTTCAGTTAAGAGGACAAGGTTTTCTTGGGCTATTGGTCTGCTCTTGATAACAGATTGTTATAGCTGCCTTACCTTTAAACAATATTCCTAGAATACAGGTTTTGTGTTTTGTCAGAATAATTTCCTGTGTTGTTTTCATCAGCAATTTCATTACTTAAGAAAACTGAGTCTTCTTAATATTGAAGGAGTTAAATTTTACTCACAACTATGTAATCTTTTGTGTTTGCCTTTGAAACCTGTTATTGTTACTTTGGTCAAATAGATACTTACATATTATTTCATAATGATCTGTGATCCTATTTGGTCAAGTGTCCAAACCCTTTGATATTTTTGACAATCTTCCCCAAATATTCAAATTCTAAATGACATTTTTTTCTATTAGGGTGTAATTTTGGAATTTTCCAGAGGGCACCTGGGACATCTCAAAAGATTTATCCCCTCTTCTTATAAGAAGATGTATTACAGTAATTAGGCTTATTTGGTATGTCAAATTACGTGAGAAGCATGGTTGAGTAAGTGATAGCATACCTTTTTAGGTTATATTGTATGGGTGAATGTTACTGAAAAGTGTTCTAGAAATTGTGTAAAATTCCTAAAAATCTGATATGTCTGAATATAATGTTATTACCTGTTATTGTAGTTATTATCCAATCTTACAAAAGTACCCAAATTTTCTTGTCAATTGTATTTACCCACTTCCTTTAAAACAAAGTATTTTATCAGTTCCAAATGGTTATTGTTTTACTCCAATGCTTTTAAAATCATGTTTTACTTTCAAAGAGATTCATGAAAAAGACTTTAA